AATGATATCAATTTTTTTTTTTCGATTTCACTTGAATGATGGTTGTATGAAGAAGGATATGTTGATAATGAACAGTATTCAATATCAAAGTCCATAAAACAATACAAAATAGGAGCAGAGCAAACATGGACCTCCGAAACATCAGAGGTAGGATAATTGTATAAAGTGTAAGGAAGTCGTACCTTTTGATGTCACCTACTCTCAATAAAAATTAATCAATTCCCTTTTATCTTGTTTTCGGACAAAGGAATACATAATAAAAAAGATCATAAGGGGTGGATTATGAACTTTCTTGAGAGGGGAGATAACATATCCAGTCATAAAACTCCAGGGTAGAGACTTTCTGAAAAGGAAAATTCATAAAAAAAATCTTCAGATACAGCAGAGTGTCTTAAATCCCGTTTTCAATGGTTCAATAGTGCAAGTATTTTGTTTTCATCTTTATACACTAGCACCATTATCACCAGACTTCTTGATAGAAAGCTTGTATGATCAGGTGAGCTATAATTGTGAGGGACCCCTCTTTTAAAACGGTTTAAACTACGCAAAATAACCTATAACAACACCCGCTGAAAAGTCGAGTCTACAAATATATATAACTTTTGAGAATTTTAATTTATGGATAATACCATTTTATTTACAAATACAGAGCTAGGGATATATCACGTCGTTTTCTTTTATATTATACATCAATATAAACTGCAGTTTCATATTACACATCCGTCCTGAAGAGCTCTCGTACAGGTAGGTCAATACACATTTTATTTTTAAACAAACATTAGTAACGTTCTTACACGAAAGAAAGTTTTAATTCGAAAAGTAAAATAGATTTAATGACATACATGAAAAGTGGAATTGGTTTTCAGTATATATCAAGATCGACTGCATTATGACATAAAAAAAAAATATACTCTTTACAATTGTATCGTCGAGCCTAGGTACTTTCTGCTTCTTACTTTAAAGGATATTTTCTTTACTTATTCTGGTAACTTAAAGGCAATCAAATGGAAAATTTCTAATTAATGAACTTTTCAAAAACTAATCATTTTTAATTACTATTGTGAATTTCTTTTTAAAAGAAAACACTGTTTGGCATATCCTTCATCAATATAGTTGTTTCTCTTTTAGAATTTGTCTGAATATTTTGTTTGGATTTGAGAAGAAAAGAAAAAAGGGAAAGAAAATAAAGGTTTCTTTATGCATGAAAATATAGTATTGGGTTAATAACTTTTTGACTGGGTTGGAACCACCACCCTCTCCTTTTAGAAAAAGGAATCCCGCATCCACGCCTTTTCTCAACTTTATTTTTATCAGTCATTTACATGAATATGGTGTTCTTCTTTTTATGATATTCAATCAGTATTTCGGAAAATGTATTGTCTTGAAAAGCCTTTTTTTTTGGGGGGGGGGGGGTATTAGTTTCATAATTACCTTTCCGAATTCCTCAATTTTATCATAAAATCAATTTTAGATGGAAAAAGAAAAAATATTGCAGAAACAGCAAAAATATGTATAATTATGCATGAACTATGATCTTTAAAATACGATGATATATTTGTTGTTTACATTATTGTCTTACGTTTATTTAGATACTTTAAGAAAGAACAAGGATGACATTTTATGTGGAATTGCTATCGTCAGCCTTTGGTTTGATTTTATTCGTCGTTGCCATGGCCTTACCTGGATTCATAACTGAAGAGGTAACTGTAACCTTTTTGAAAGATTATATGTTATAATTGATTAATTGAAAATTCAATAACAGAAAAAAATCTTTTTTTGAGAGAGAGAGTCAATCAAAGGAAATAGTCATGAATTGTTATGATATAAATATGGGAATTTACTTAGTGTATTATGCAATGCTTTAGAGTATCAAAATGGGCATCTTTTACGCCAGGATGTGTGTTCCCAATCAATGTTCAACAAGCTCTTACGTAGATCTGGATGAGAAGAATGAAACCAAAGGGCAGCTTTAGCTCTGTAAATCAATCAATCTCTCTCTCTCTCTCTCTCTCTCTCTCTCTCTCTCTCTCTCTCTCTCTCTCTCTCTCTCTCTCTCTCTCTCTCATTTTTAAAGGCTTTGTTCATAGTTATTTAATTAATCTCCGATATCTGAAAAAGGGATTGTAAATAATGTCTGATGGAGGAGGTACATATATATGTGGAATATTATGGATGTCCTAGACAAGAAACCCTCACAAAACAGTGTTTAAAATAACCATACTTTTCTTCAGCAATGATAGATATGCAGATAGAGAGTCTCCTTGCTGTCGTCCTTGGGGGAGTCGGATGGTTGATTCTTTTTTGGAATACCAAGAGGAAAGTGTCGATTCCATCGACGTTTGTGATTGGGGGAATTTTACTACTTGTGGCAGGTAATGACTTTTTACCTTAATACTGATTTATTTGATATCAGTAAATAGCTGTAGAACATTAATCTATCAAATAAAGAAAACCAAAAATATGTTGTGTCATCAAAACGTTGAAATCAATCCTTATTATTGTATGCTTAAAACAAAATTATTTTTAAAAATATGTTTTCATCTATAGTTACATCTGAGTTCGCTGTCTTGCTTCAATTTATCGCCACGAACGTATCCAGAAAAGCATCACAAGGGAAAGACAGCACTCTCGGAGTTCCATACTCATTAATACTTGTCGCCTTTGGTATTTTATTCATGCTTGTTGCTGTTATAAGGAGCTTTATGTTCTTTATCAGAAATGAACATAATGAAGATAAAACGAAGACTTATCAACAGACAGGGGATGAACCAGGGAGAAATATCAAAACAAAATATAAAACTAGAGCTTAAAGCTAAAAGACATCATCCTTAAAATATGTTAAGAATTAAAGTTTGCTATATTAGAATATGTTATTATGATATTTTTTTAAGTAATTTATATCTTTATGATCAATTAGACGTACATTAAGTACTAGTATTTTACATTGTTTCAAAACTTAAATCGTCTGTACAATCAAATATATATACATTATTATTTAAGAAAACAATATTGTACGTAGAAAAACATCTCATTTTGTGTGTTGGATGAGGGGATGGATAAAACCATACAATGAAACATATAACGCTTTCAGTGTTCGTGCAGAATCACTGAAGCAAACGGTTTGGTTTAATCAATTTTTTTTCAAGATTGTAGTTTCTAAATTAAGAAACATTCAGAGATAACGAAAAAGAGGATAGGACACCAAGAGATAGATAGGCAAACGTACTTCAAATATTAGGATATAAAGTTTTTAAAATTGCATCTTTTAGCTGTGTTATTAATGAAAGGATTTTGCCACCTAAAATAATCTAGTCTCTTTTTTATATTTCACGAAAGAGGGTTAGGATTGCTTAATCCAATCTCCTTTTTTCTATCGTCTTCCAATCATTTGAATTTTTAGTTGATGTAGTTTATGCTTAAAACAAGGTACGGTTTCAAATATTGCCTTGTGATTTTCTTAAAAAATGAAACTGATGTAAAATTTGAAAACTCATGCTTTGAAATTCCATGCGGAAAAATCAAGCAGATCATTTTCCTCACACACATTTCTAAATGCTTATTGTGGTGAACATGCATATTTTCCTTTATTTTCTGAAGAAGTTGAGGAAGATACCAATTTTCAATGCAATTTTCTGTCAGATAATATTGTTTCCAGGTATCGACCACAAAGATTTTGAGATATGTGAACTTTAAATGAATTTTACAACATATCTAAAAAATAAAAATTAAAGCTGAATATGACGTATCTGATCTAAGAATAAAAATACAAGAGTAGGTTTAGATTAAGATGATATTTGTTATTAACGTTCAATTAAATTCAAATTTTCACCAATTTTGAACTTAATTATCCCCACGTTTCTTTAGTTAAATTGATTTTAAACTGTGTCTGCTACTCAATTTCGAGCCTGAAATAAATCGGTTATTGTTGTAAAATTGTGATTTCTATAAACCGCTATTGATTTATATTGTGTACAAGTAATTTGCAGGAAAGTCCTATCTTGATATAAAGAAATAAAACTGATAGAAAGATCTTTTTAATTTTGGTTAGTGTGATATTATCTTTTTAAAAAGCCATATATGACGTTAAATTGGGAGACAGCTGAGGACACTATTTTCTTAAGGGAAATTACTCTTGAAATGGATCATTTTGAGACTTTCCTTAAAATAAAGAAATGCATCAAATTAACGACGTCATATTCCCAGAATGATACCTTTATGCTAAATACCTTCTTTATCGATAAAAGCCATGTACACAACTAATATTTGAGACAGTTTCAAAATTTAAAAAAAAAAAAAAACATTTAATTTTTAGGGCACAATTAAGCAAAAAACGTACCTTCTTTTGAAATATTGAGATTAAGATGTTTTTCTTTTTCTTGATTAATTAAATAAATGAAATACCACTTGTCTGTAATATGGCTCCAAGGAAAAGTAAACACGTATGTTCCTCGCTATTTATGTTGAAGACACCCAATTTTATTAAAATAGCAGGCTATTATTAGACACAATTCAGTTCTATTTTAGACATTTTTTTACGCAATGTCAAAGTTTGGGATTTAAAGCCGATCAATAACGATTCTATTCATTTAAATCTTCGTTTAACTGCGCATAATCGACAAGTGCCAAAAATAAAGAATCGAATTACCATGTAAACATAATGCCCAAGATTCTAACGCTCACCTGGTCAAGTAAATTTTATAAAAAGTGATGTTTTTCTCACCTTTTTCTACACTATTAAAATACTTCAGTCCAAAACTTTCCACAAATTTCGTAGATGATTAATAACTGTTTTAAAAACATTTATTGGTAGGTAATATTTACTTACAGGGTCATTATAACGACCACAGAATTCACAAAATGCTGACTTTAAACGAGGTGGTTAAAATCCCTGTAACATAAACTTATCTGTTCTTAACCTGCCTATGTTTAACAGCTTATCGTACTCGGAGCATGCTCTTGATTGTTAAATAAGTTAGGAAATGTAAAGGTGATAAGGTGACCAGGTGATAGGAGGATATCTCTACGTAAATAAGAAAAGCTTACAATGGCAAAGGGTGACCTCGTTTGTCAAAGGAGTAAAAATTGGAAGGCCGCGATTGACATCAGCGGATGAAAATTAGGTAGGGACTGTTTCTTTACCAATTGCTCGACTTTTTTTAAACAAAATGTTGAGGTCCTTCGGATAGGCCCTGGAAAACTGAGGTCCCGTCTCATGGCAGGTGCTGGCACTATAAAGATACCTCATTGCCCGATTTTCAATTTCAACCTGCAAAGGACTAAATTTGAAGACCTTCATTGATAAACGTTGGCGATTCTATATGAGTGAAACATTCTCCAATGATACGTCAAGCAACATTCAATCATTTAATCAATCATTTATACATATTGTAAGTTGTTTGTTGACCCTTATGGTCAACATCCAGATATGAAACAGATGAGATAGACATTAAGTGTCATTGAATTCATGTCCACTGGGTTAAATATCGAATCGACATATCAATGAAAGTTTACCGACTGTATACAAGAAAGCATCACTAAAACTAAACTGCATGGCTCTACTTCGGCATAATAATGTTATCCTAATGTCGAGTTGAATAATATTTTTTTTAAAGACCGTTTTTTCCGTGTTTTCTTCTTCTCATATAGAAGTTTTGGAATAAATTCTGCTTCACAGGAATAAACGTTAACTTATAACGTATATTTCCATATGCTAGTATTTCATTAAGTGCCTAATCTTTACCTTCATTTACTAGCACCTTATATATTGTTGTTAGCATCATACTACTGAATACAAAGTTTGTCTGTTCAGGTGAGCTATAAAACTAATAGGGGACCTCCTCTTTGAAAACACTTTAAGTGCGCTTTAAATACGCACAATAACAAACCAATATTAGAATCTATTTGCACGTTTATTTTTAGAATCAAATATATATAGTTATTGGGACATGTTACGCTGTTTTCTTTGATGTTATATATAAATACAAACTGTTCCATATTACACAGCGGTACTGAAGAGCTCCCATATAGGTTGGTCATCACTCAGCTTTTATAACTGATTCTTTTCCTTTTCTCTAATGATTTTTCTCTTCATTCTTTGTTTAATTTTTCTTCTTTTTTGTCTAATTTTAATACGTTTGTTCGTTCGTTTGTTTGTTGTTTAACGTCCCTCTTGAGAATTGTTCACTCATATGGAGACCATACCACTTGCCGGTGGAGGGCTGCAAATTTTGACCTTTACTCAGGCCCATAGAGCAGGGAGATATCTTTTTCGTGCCAGCACCTATTATGATGCGGTTCCTCGGTTTAAGCCAAAAAAATAATGCATTGAATATAAAATATGGAAACTGGGATTCATTATCAGCGCATCAAAAATGACTGAAATACTTTCTTTAAATGAATTACAAGTATAACTTCTTTTTTTAAACGACAATTCCTCGCTTAGTAAATAATCTTATGTTTGTTATGGATACTTTAAAAGAGAATAAGGATGCCGATTTATGTTGAATTGCTATCGTCAGCCATTGGTTTGATTTTATGCATCGTTGCCACGGCCCTACCTGGATTCATAATTGAAGAGGTAACTGTAACTTATTTGAACGATTATAATTGTATTTAAACTCGGTAGAATATTAAATAGAAGAATAGAAACACCATTTGTTGTGCAACAATTAAAGGAAACAGTAATGTATTTTCCTTGTAATAGCAATTTATACTATTCAATTTTGTAGGTTAGCCAATTGAGCATTTTTTACGCCAGGGATTGTGATCGCCAGGAAACTGACAAATGCTCGACAAGTTCTTACGTAGCTTTAGATGAGAAATATAAGTTCAATGGGGCGCTTCAGCTCTGTAAGTCTCTTTCTCTTTCTCTCTCTTTCTCTCTCTCTCTCTCTCTCTCTCTCATTTTTTCTAAAAGTTTTCTACATAGTTATTTGATTTACTTCCGATTTTGAAAAGAAGTATTTTTAAATATTTACATTTACAATAAAGAACAAGGTTCACGTTTGCCTTATTTGGCCCTGTGAATTTCTGAAAAACTGAAACTACATAGTTTTTGTTAACAATGCATCTAATATCTTTTAGATCTTTGGTGATTGTGTATATATAAAAAAAATGACGTAATTTACTGGCTAGTCAATGCATTATAACGTCACGAAATGCGTCCTCAAAAAAAGTATACAAAATCGGCCAATTTTAAAAGCTATTTTTCGATATTTAATATAGAGCGCAATCTCTGATCTAAGATATCCAATCAGTAAATGAAAAACTGTTTCTGAGGATTAAAAGACATGTTTTATTTTTTTAGACAAGAGAGTGCGCTCATATGATTTTTCTTCATTAAAAATATACTCAAATATACCTGTTTAGCCTAAAATTCAAGAACATTGAAATTTTATCAAGTCAGTTCTCCGAGACCTGGCCTTTTAGGAGAAAAATTTTAATAGGATATGAAAACATGAAGTCTCTAATTTATTTAAATGCTTCATATGAACAATCAAGTGTTTATAAATCAATTGGTATATCTACAGGGCTATTTTATGCATAAAGTGAACCGACTTCTTTCCCCTATATATGATTCTTTACAAAATAAAATGCAGTATATTTCCTCATGAACTACATTACATATGTACTACGAATAAGCATGAATATCTCCTTTGTTACGCCACTTGACGTCAAAAAATATAGTGCACACTGTTTTGCGTTAAAAATAACAGTTGAACGCTTCACGCCGGCATATTTATCGAAGTCTTAAAAAAACCTTAACAGAACATATATAAAATAACCATATTTTTCTTCAGCAATGATAGATGTGCAGATAGAGAGTCTCCTTGCTGTCGCGGCCGGTGGAGTTGGATGGTCGATTCTTTTTTGGAATAATACCAAGAGAAAAGCGTCGATTCCATCGACGTTTGTGATTGGGGGAATTTTACTACTTGTGGCAGGTAATGACTTCCTACCTTAATAAACGATATCAGTAAATAGCCGTAGAACATTATCTATCTAAGGAAGAAAACCATAAATATGAGCGATAATCTACGCGTTCAAACCGTTTAGATTAATATTTAGATTAAGGATATGCTTTAAATATAAATGAGATAATTTTAAGTGAACTTTTTTTCCATTCATAGTTACATCTGAGTTCGCTGTCTTGGTTCGATTCATCGCCACGAACGCTTCCAAAAAAGCGACACATGGGAAAGAATTTTCTTTTGGAGTTCCGTACTCATTAATACTTGTCGGCTTTGGTATTGTATTCATGCTTGTTGCTGTTATAAGGAATTTTTACCTCAATATCAGACATTAAGATTTTTCGATGACTAATCAACGGACGGAAGATGAACCGAGGAGTAATATCACTGAAAACAAAATCTAAAGCTAAAAGACATCATCTTTAAAATATGTTGAGAATTAAATTTTATTTTGTAAGAATATGATAAATTTGTAATTTTTCCTTTATGATCAATTAGACTTAATTATAAAAAGTAGTAGTATTTAAATTATTTCAAAACATAAAATGTCTGTACAAAAAATATTTAGTATTTTTTAAGAAAACAATATTGTACAGGACGACATATTTTTGTATCATTACGACAAATAAAATATTACAAATATGAACAACAGAAGTTTATGAGTATTAAATAAATGCTCTTTTCCTCTGTCTTTGAAGTAAGTAATAGCAAATTTGCAACAAACATCAAAGTAGCATCTCATTTTGCTTTCATGTTGATTTTGGCACATATTGAGAATGCTTTACTTTGACATTTACTTTCAAAATGTGATGACTTTACAACAGGTTTTGTTTTAAATTTGATATCATATTTAAAATAATTGAAAAAAAAAACAAATGATAGCTATGTGTAAAAGATGTGACATTTACAAGAATTCCCCATGGTTTGAAATTTGAATATGTCTTTTATCAAATAAAGCAAAAATAAATTAATAACATTGTCTGAATGATGCCGTATTTATCTTTTAAATATCAAATAAGGGTATACTTTTGAGAATGTGAGGATGTTTGCTCTCTATATATACATGAACTACAACTGCTTTTGAAAATTGTTTATTACTGCTACAGTGTCATAACTAATTAGTAGGTAAATTGTTTTCTTCTATTGGATTTGAACTTGGATTTAATTTTAAAAGTTGTAATTCAACTTATATTCATAGACCATTTCTATGAGAAAATTTCAAAATCATATGTCAGGTTTTCATGTTTTATAATATTCCAACACAACCAAATTGAATTTAAATTGATGTCAAATATTTGATTTCAAAATACTTTTGAATTTGTTTACAAAAATTATACATAGCAGGTTGAGGTAAATGGACATACCATCTCTTACAAATACATTACACCTCTATAAGATGATTAACATTTGTGATTTACAAACTTCAAAAGATTGTTCAACATTATTTTAAAATTCATTCAGAAGTGTGTAAAGCGATTTTAATTTTATAAAAAATTCCAAGGAACTTTTAGAACATTTGAAATCACAAAATTTTAACAAAATCAATAACATTAAAAGGTACATTGTGGCAATTTGAAAGACATAATGAATTTCCCATGACAAATAAAGGTCCAGGCTTCACACATCATTTTCATATAGTTTCTATAAATAAAAATTAAAGTGTTTTCTTTTTAAACAAGAAGCCAATTGGCCACACTACCATCTGAGCACATGATTTTTAAAAACACAAATCAGCTCAGTATTGAAAAACTAACTTGTCAGAAATTGATTTTTTATTACTTGAGAACATTATATCAATTAAATATACACTTCATAAAAAGTACAACATTCACTAAAAATGTATTTCTTTATGACTATAGGTGACTCTCGATGTATTTCATTTAATATGAAAATAAAAAATGATTACATATGATGTGTTTCTTTTTAGGCCAACAGCAGACTCTAAATCTAAAGAACCAGAAAATTGTAACAAATCTTGGCCATTTAATTTTGAAATGGTCAAGGTAAGTAATTTGTAATTTAAAAGTTTTTTTCTCTGGATATTGATTTTTAACTCAGAGAAAAAGTAATCTTGCTTGAAAAACCTGGAATTAATATACATTACATCTTGAACCCCCCCCCCCCCCCCCCCAGGATCTTTGGACTTTGTCATATTTTTTCTTGAACTTAAGATTATGTTTCCTACATCTTTGAAAGAAAAAATGTATTACTTGGTTTAGTTAAATTTCTTGCATTGAGTGACTGATACTTCTTTTACTTTTTGACCAAGGTAAGGTAAATGAAAAATTTCATATGCTGCAGTAAACTCAGCAAGAAAATTTTGAAGTGTAAATTTCACTTTGAGTGGACTTACATGCATATAAGTGATGGTGTTAAATGTGACCCATTTTAGGGGGTTTTTTTTGGAGGGAGGGGAAGTAGCATGTACACTAACAGAGGTTTGACCTCTACTTAGGACACTGCTTGAAAATTTGAATTACTCTTCTGTGTGTCCATTGATATTCACTGTGACATGAAAAATCAAAACAGTAAAATTATTGAAAAGTTTTTAAACTGTAGGAGCTCTAGGAAGACAAGCACGACATTTATTTTGGGTAACTTTGTCTATCTGTCTGTTCATATATTTGAATTCATGATACTCTGATCATTAAATTTTACCCACAGGAACTTTAAGATAAGAATTAATATTCTTATAAATGTATGGTTTTATCACTATGTTTGTATGCATGCCTAAATATCACCATCTTTTAATATTCATTAGTGAGACCTCTGACTCGGACTGTGTTATTTATTTCTAGTTAAAGTACAGGTATATACATGTATACTCTCAAATATATACCGTTAATTTACATCAGTGAAGACAAATCATATATTTCAGTAAAAACAACAGAAGTCTTATATCATCTTTATTTTGTTCATTGTTAATATATCTGTTAATGACACATTTGTTTATGACCCCACCCTAAAGTCAAATTTTGGGTATTTTTTTATTACCCTCCCCCCCCCCCCCCCCCCCGAGTCAGTCAGTAGTTTGTAGTTATTTTACTATCACTGTGTACAATTTTTTGTTTGTTTCAGCCACTGGTGCCAGATTTGAAGAGATTTTGGCCAAACCTCTATCCAGATACAGAAGCAAACAGTTTCTGGTAGAAAAATTTAACTTTATATCAGAGAATATTCTACAGTGATGAGTAAACTGTATGTGACATTACATTAAATAAAATCCTTGATGAAGAGTACACCTATACTTTAATTTTAGGGAACATGAGTGGTCAAAACATGGAACCTGTGCTACCTCAGTACCTGCTACCTCTAATGAACTCAAGTACTTCCAAATGGGACTCAAGCTTCATGCTCAATACAACCTCACAAAGTAAATGTTTTCAGTTATTAAATCATTAAGAATAAGGTTTTCCTATATTTATATGTTTGTTTGTTTTTTCAAAGATATGTTGTATTTAAGTAATGTTTATGTCCCCCTTTCACGAAAGCGAGGGGACATTAAATCTCATTCGTCAGTCTGTCCATCTGTCACAAAAACTTTAACCTTGCCCATAACTTTTGATTTAGCGAAGCTATGACTTTCATATTTCAGAAGCTATGACTTTCATATTTCACATGTGTATTCCGTGTGACAAGACCTATCTTTGGATACCACCAAATTTGACCTTTTGACCTTGGAGTTTGACCCACTTTTACACAAAATCTCCCAATGTTTACTTTGGCCATAACTTTTGAATGGTAGATACTAGAACTTTCATATTTCACATATATATTCTATGTAATAAGACTTTTCATTGGATACCAACAACTTTGACTTTTTGACCTTGACCTTGGAGATTTCCATACTTATGGAAAAACTTTAACCTTGTCCATAACTTTTGAATGGTAAGGGCTAGGGCTTTCGTACTTCACTAATGTAATCCATGTGAGAAGACCTTTCATTGGATACCAAAAATGTTGACCCCTTGACCTTGACCTTGGAGTTTGACCTTCTTTTCAAAAACTTTGACCTTGGCCACAACTTTTGAATGGTAGATACTAGGACTTTTATATTTCACATATGTATTCTTTTTGGCAAGACCTTTCATTGGATACCAACAACTTTGACCTTTTGACCTTGGAGATTTCCGTACTTATGAAAAAAATTTAACTTTGGCCATAACTTTCGAACGGTATGGGCTAGGACTTTCATTTTTCACATATGTAATCCTTTTGAGAAGATCTTTCATTGGATACCAAGAACTTTAACGCTTTGAAGATCTTTCATTGGATACCAAGAACTTTAACCCTCTCCTTGAGTTTCTTATTAACAATATGGTGTTTTTTGGTGATTATGTCTTCCAACAATCTGTTGGAATTCCCATGGGTACCAATTGCACTCCGTTAATAGAAGACCTCTTTTTTATTCATATGAAGCAGAATTTTTTATTCATAAATCTACAACTGGAAAAGAAGAAAATATTTGCTGTGGCCTTCAACTCGTTATTTAGATGTAGCAACATTGTATTGTCAATTGACAATGGTTATTTCCATTCTTATCTCGATACGATATATCCCGGAGAGTTTGAAGTAAAGGATACCACAAAGTCAGACACATCTGTTTCATATTTGGATAATTTACTAAAGAAAGAGGATGCTCATCCCTCCATGGCACCTGATCCCACTTCTGATGTTTTAAAGGTCTGTATTTGCTTTGCTTCAAATTTTGTATTGTTTTATGGACTAACGAGCTTGAATACTGTTCGTTATCTCCATACATTTCATCCAAAGTCGGCCAGAATACGACCCATTGATCGTTTATATTTGTTTGCTAACAATGTCATTAAACAACTTTAGAATTTACAAATTGCTGACATATCATCAATTTATCTGTGATGTGTATCCGGATCATATTCAGAGCATGTTCTTAGCAAATAATTGGGAGGAATATATACAATAAGCAGGCGACAGTAGAAAAAAAAAAGTTGACTCTAAAATCATCTCGTTTTTTTATACACCCACAATTTCATTCATAATTATTTCTTTTATTATTAAAAGCTGATGCAAGTTACCCAATGTTTGTGAATTCAGAAAACTGCAAAACAGGACACATTTTCATAAATTTACACTACTACAACATAGGTAATCTCAAACGGATGAAGTTTGTCCGGAGTCGTACTTATAAAATCTCGTGTGTATATACATGAATTTAGTTGCATTTCCTTATGACAGAGTACTTTAAATTCATATTCTTATTAAAATGCAGAGTGACGGTCTGAATAGAGATGATTGCATAGAGTGAGTACTAAGTCAAATATATACATAAATACTTTTAATTAAAGATAACGACTTTTGAAAACATATATCTATTTACTTTACAGCGGCCGTTGGTATAAAACATATAGCTGGTTGCCAAACGACGTATTTACAGGCAGACAAGAAGCAGACGGCAAAACACTTTACGTAGTCTGCGCCTACATTGGTGGCGTCTTTACACCTGGAAAATTCGGGCTGCATTTTTAATAGTGGAGCCTGTATTCCGTACGATGGTGAAGAAAGGATTTGCCCAAGTTTTTACCATCTGTGCAATAAGAATTCTAATAAATGGATGTATAGCTGGGAGCGCGCCTCCAACGGAAACGTCCCTCATAACGCTCTAAGGGTGGATGAGGGGCTGTACGTGGGTCGAGTCCACCACGAGGGGAGTCTTATTCCATGTAAAGTTCACACAACGGATGGATGTGCTTATTTTGGTTATGCTGGGAAAGAACACAAAGCCAAGAGGTGCTCGTCTCCACATTGAATCTGTGGTCAGGCAGAGGAGGGGAAGGGCAAAAGAGGCCAAGGAATAGTCTCGCCAATAAAGCCGAGAGGGAAATAGACTTTAATAGATTGTTCACTCTAGGAAAATATCAAAGCATTTCTGACGTTTAACGTAATTTTTTCTAGTTCAGATAGTTATCAGTTTGAAATATTTCTGGATCATTACCTTTGAAAAAATATTGATAATTTACTTCAACTTGTAAATAGTCCTCGAATCTTATGTAATATTTTAAAGCAATAACAACTTGCTTGTGTGTGTTTTAGATTATAGAGTTTTATTTCTATAATTCTTATCAATTTTTTTTATTTATTTTTACGATGGTATATTTTTGATACTCCTCTGTAGGCTCTTGATTGGAAATAAAGTAATTTTTTGTCAATTGTTTATAATTAACTTGGATAACATTTTAACAAAACTTCTGTAATCTTTGGTTTTCAGCAGGCAAACTTGATACATGATTATTATAAGCAATTAAGGATGGTTCATGTAGTAAAATTAAAATGTACTACTACCTAAATCTGCTCTGCTACATGGCATTTAGGAGGCAGAGTACAGAAGCTGTAAAAGGAAAGGGAGTTTGATCAGATTTGTGAAATTTGGACCAGTTGATCACTTCCCTGCGCTCGATCTGTTGGGAAATGTATCCTTATTCATCTTTGCTATCCACCTCTGATAAAGGGAAAAAAAGAGGCCCATGAGCAACAATGATCACCTGAGTAACTTTAGCCCTGTTGTTCTTCACCATATCCTCCCCCTTATTGCCCCACTGTACCCAACCCCACCCCCATTGCACATTGAGGCATGATTTCAACAATTTCGAATCTACACTATACCCATGCTTCCACATTATTTTTCTGTTTTCTGGCCCAATGGTTCTTGAGAAGATTTTAAAGATTTTTTTCCAATATGTTTGAATGTAGCTGCAGAACTGTAGCTCTCCGAAAAAAAAATATTTTGACAGACCGGACAACTATCAATATATTTTTCCGGAGAGCTACAGTTCTGCAGCTACATGTTTTAATGTAACAAAAAATTATTGGCAGTTTTATCCTCAAGCTACGCCAAGAGGCCATGACTTGAATAATATAGAATCTACATTACCCTAGGATTCTTCCAGATAATCGTTTCAGCTTTTCTGATTCTTGAGAAGAAGACTAAAGAAAGACACCAGTCTTTTTCGAATTTTCTTGATTATCTCTACTTGGAAAGGGGCTTGACCCTTTATATTAAAATTTTAAAAAAAAAGCCCTCCTTTAGACAGGGATGCTTTGTATCAGATTTATTTAGTTAAAATTGGCCCAGTGGTTCTTGATAAGAAATTGAAAATGTAATAAGTTTATTTACAGACGGACATAAAGACAGCCGCCGGACACCGGGTGATCAAAAAAGCTCACTTTACCTTTAAGCTCTGGTGAGCTTAAATGTAATTCGTAGTTTGATGAAGAGAAGTATTTTGCGAGAATTGATAATGTATAGTAAAAACATACACGTGTAAACAAAGATTAAGAAGCTCAATTCGACAGAAATAAGTTAGGTAATTTTTGGCTCACCTGAGCTGAAAGCTCAAGCACAACTGTGAGTATGAAGTTTATATTGTCGAAAAAATGTGGGAAAACAATTCCTACCCTTAACTATAAAATCACCAGGATTGCAACGTGTTTTGGGTGCTAAGAAATAGATGTGGGTTTGGTCAAAAACATTTCGCGACCAATTCAGTATCCGGAGTGTTTGGTGTTTGTACTATTTATTCAAGTTGCTTGATGCCATGCATGCCCCTTTCTTCTACCTTGACGGCTCATCCTGGAAACCATGCCACTAAACCAGAGGTGAATCCCACAGTGTAAATTTGACGTCTTCAAAAACATGTTTAAATAAAATTCAATACGCAATTGTTCATAGAAATTTGATTCAGTTACTTTAGATATATTAAGAGAACTTTAAAAAGTTATCAATTCTTTTTCGTACTTATATAAGAATATGTACCAGGAACAGATAATTCAGTTTTTACAAGGCGCCACATTTAAATTATTGAAAAGACCAAAACAGCTAAACTTGGCGACCTGATAAGTCATTATTTTGTTTTAAGAAATACATTTTTAATTTAATCACATATGGTAAAATAACATTGTGCATGAAGTTTTACACGCATTTTCTTTCTTTTCTTCAATAATGTCAAATTTTCACCGCGGGTTTTTCTTCTGTTTAAGTGGCATGGAGTCCGGGATGAACTGTCAAGGTGGAAAAAGTGCCATGCATGCAAGGCCCAATCAAGATTGATTGTTTTTAATAAAGAGCTCCGGATACTGAATTTTTCGCGAAATGTTTTTCACTAAACCCAGATCTATTTAATTTGGTGGGTCCCCACAAAAACACATTGCCATCCTGGTGTGTGTGTGTGTTTATTTTTATTTAGCTGAGGGTGGGAAATTTTTTGCGGGGGTAGGGTGACAAACAAAAGGGGAATCTAAGCTTTACATTGAAGTATATGGGAAAGAACAATGACAATATTTGATTCCATTGCATGCAATCAACCATTTTCATCAGTATAGTATTTAGAGAAGAAGAAGAAAAGAAATAA